GTACATTGTTGAAGGCAATAGCCCGGTGAAAATCGTAGATCTCCTATTTGTCGATTCAAAAAGTATCCAATCACCGTTTTTGATATCTGCACATTCGTGTTGTGACAACTTGACGTCATATCCGGTGATGTCACATGTTAACTTGTCCATTGTTACAGGACTCCAGGAAACAGCAATTGCAGAAGAGTTTGTCGGGATAGCAGAAACATTCGCGGGACCGGCCATCGGTGCTATAAAAACTCAAGGCTGTAAGCAACTATAAAATCACATGGGAATTTAGCTATTTGTTCCTCTTTAGAGATTGTTTGATATTCAAAATTCCATATCCCTTCAGGCTTTGCACTTGTAAGTCCTCGTGATTGCTAGACCTTAGCCAGCAGAAAAAATTTAAAGCGAGACTCATCTTTATATCAAGTGATAAATATTGAAACACTTTAATGCTGTTAAATTTCTGTGTGTGATAATGATAATTAGGAACAAGTGATCGGAGAGCAAATACATCATGAGGTTATTCAATAAATGACAAAATCAACACTTACCATTTCCAATTCTTATAGTGGCGTTTTTACTCGGTGGACCGATGTACTTGGAGTTTTTAACGGACACCGTTACACTGTACCACGTGCACTTTTCTAGTGACGTAATATTCCACGTGTTGACCACACCTATGTCAACATTCTTTGTCTGGCCTTTGTTTGTTGTGTAAGTTACTCTATAACCTGTTGATGGTCCGTTGATAGAATACTTTTGTGGATGCTGACAAGACAAGAAACATCTTCTGGTTATTAGATTCAGTCATATTCCAGTCTTTCAGTTTGATGTTCTCACCTTCCACGTGACGCTGATAGAATTTGGTGAGAGTGTTTTCAAAGTAACAACGCTTTGGATTCCCTGTGGGACTAAGTCAAAGAGATATAGACACAAGATTTTATACCAAATAGCTCACTTTCAAGTTAACAAACCTGCTATGTCAGTCTGGGTGGTCTTGTTGTCGCTCCATAATCCATACGGAACAGCCTTGACTCGTATTTTATATTCAGTGTATGGTTGAAGCCCTGTGATGATTTTACTTGTAATCGTTGAACTAACATTCAATTTTCCCTTAGTGCTTACGTCCACAAGGTAGCCAGCTATAAGTTGAGTTAGTTTACCACATGGTTGAATAGTCCATTGTACAAATATTGATCGTTCAAAGGGAGTGATGACGTCAACACGTGGTTCTTCTATAAAATTAACAACATGAAATCATCGATATGGCCATTTGTATGGGTAATACCGCTGAAATCAACCTACCTTGATTGACGAAAAACACGTTGACTCTCATCGTTTTACACACGTGATAATCTACAGGAACGAATCTAATGAACCGTGCTTCTTGGATGGTCTTTAAATCATGACGAACGGCAATTTCGGCAGTCATCGATTGGCYATTATAGGTACACCAATAATACTTGGTTCTACCCCAGATATCTCTATAATTACACTACAAAGAGAAATATACATAAACAAAAGTCAGATTATTACGCTTGTTATAATGTATTTTTTAAACGAAGCAAAACTTGAAAGTCTTTATCCATACTCGTTCCCAGTCTACTTTTGAATTTCGAAAAGCCTATATATCATATTAGATATTAAGTAGAATAAAATAAGACAAAACACCAACTTTATTAACAATATTGCCAACAATATTAAATATTAGATGTAAATTAACAATAATGACGTTACCAAATAACATTGTATTCAGTCCATTGCGTTGAATTTGTTTCTTGTTTAAAACGAAGTTTAAATGTGTTTATCCATTCAGATAATTCAGTTCTACCATTCCCTTGTGTTGCGAATTGTTTTCATTTGACCGTGAAAGACCGCACAAGACTTATAGTTCGTATTACACTCTGAATTTCTGTTGTTGTCTACCAACAAACACTAGCATTTTACCAACCTTGCTATAAACTAACAATAATGTTTTTACCGTATAGCAATTCTGTAAGATGTCTCCATATTCAATCCATTTAGTTGAATTTGTGTCTTGTTTAAAACGAAGTTTGAATGTTTTTATCCATTCATTTGATAAGAGGC